TGTTGTTCAACCATGAGCATTTACGATAAAGATTCAGTTGATAAATCTCCCATTACTTGCTATAAAATTCTTTGTAAACACTGCCAAGTTCAGAAAACTTCGTATAATATCAACTTAAAAGAAATTTCGTCTGGATCGCTGATAAGTTTTTCTCATTCTATTTTCCTATTTTCTGATTTTTACTTGGATTAGTTTCGTGGTCAATGGCCATTGCTTCAACACCCCGAGGAAATATCATCGAAAGTCTCTGAAAAACAACCTCTGTAAAACAAAATCGTCCACTGAAAAATTCCACTGAAAAACAAAGGTCAGTTCTACCCAATTACCAAGTTAAATACTTAACCTTTGCCGGAAAAAAATAACTTATAACTTAGGTAATAAATAATTCACAAGCCTAATGGTTTAAGAAATTAATATTCATTCCAAGTGAAAAGCTTTTATAGTTTTGACAACAACTTAATTCAGTGTGACCAGCTGTTTCCCTAAACTTGAAAATAATTATTGTTTTCACTGTTTTTATTGGACTCGCATGACGGACCTCGCCTCGCTCGGTAAAGAAACAGAAATGAAAAAAAGGGGACTCAGAATTTTTTCTTTGTCCCACGCTCGTAACAAGACGAAAAAAACATCTTTCTTTATTTCTTTACCGAGCTCAAAACTTACCACCTCTCTTATTTCTACCTACAAACATTACGCTATCGACATTGCTGATCCTAGCAGTATGCAGGAAGCGTGTCATGAACCTCGTAATAGACCTCGCTCACTGTGGAGTCACTGTGACTCAGTGGTTACAGCATCTGAGCGCAAAATCCGAAGGCCTGAGGTTCAGTTCCTCATGGGGACTCTGAATTTTTTCTTTGTCTCACGCTCGTGACGAGATGAAAAAAAATCTTTATCTATTGAATGTCTGTCATGAAAATTAAATTGGCCGATATGGTTAGTCCGTTATCAAGACGACTACTTTTTCCCCATATGAAGATATTTTGCATATGCGTGGACTTATTTTAACTAGCCTCAGCGGGGCTTTCCTACAATGTTGTCAAAAATATATGTCCAAATGGGTTCTCGAGTTTGGAAGAGTTGTGCTGAAAATTCATTTCTTCGTGACGGCTTTGACAAATGCAGCCAAAAAAAATAAGAAATGAAGAAACTTCCTATAAGCAATCTGCTACCCAGGAAAAGGTTCGAGGCTGATTTAAAATATAATTCATGAAGGAGTCTCTTTTTGAAAACACCTTTAATTGAGCTGTGATTGGTTTGAAGAGACTAACAAACGAGATCAAAATGGCTTTCAGGAGAAAGTCAAGATGGCGCACGTGAAAAAACCAAGTACTGTTCTAAATAAGTTCAACCATTGACTGCTTTAACTTCGAAAAAACTGTTCTGAGTAATCAGACCACTGAAGGTCTATGCAATTCTTTATTTTTTCAGGCCTGTATAGAAATACTGGCTAATCCTTATTTGTGATGCGAGTCGTTTAAGTCCTGTTAAAGCTATTTTGATTTGTGTCTGACAAATCCGAGTTTTGGATCGAGCCCTTACCGTCTCAAGGCAATCAGTTGTTCCTTTGGGAAATAAATGATATGTGCACTATGTGTGGTTAAGCTTTCATATATTTGAAACATAAGAAATTGCCAGTATATCCATTGTTTTTTCATCAATATCTCATAACTTTAAATTTTAACAGAAGCTGAATTCAACCCTAGTAAAGTAACGAATGCTTTTCATGAAAATGTAATTGGCCGATTTGATAAGCCCATTTACCATGACGACTGTTACCTGCACATTGAAGACATAAATGGTATATTCAGCGTGCGTGTTTAACTTTTCACTTATTTGAATATCTATATAACAATCGTAGTTACGAAAGTTTGGCCTAAATCTTAATCTGTGGACTAGGGGAGTGAATAACATTTCCAGTAAAACATTTAAAAGCCATTAGCAAAGTACCACTTGAGACGCGCAAAGTTTTGGGAAAAAGCTGCTTTTGGCGGCACCAGCGGGAACAATGAACAAGATGAACCAAGTATGTGTAGTGCGCTGAAGATTGTTCTATAGCTGAGTGATAAAGCAGCGACCAACGAAACTCAGAAATTTGCGATTCAGTTTCGTGTTAATCCTCATTACCTGTTAAGAAAATGGGATATTAAATGTTGTAGACGTAAAAGCGCAATGTTCAAAGGTGCCCCCCTTCCGGCGTTTAAAATGCTATATTTTCTAGGGCTTATATATAACGAGATAAAAGTGTTGCCGAAAAAGCTTTAAGAGTGAATGCGCTTTACAAAATTCCTTGTGTTTCTGACAGACCGCTATTTGAAAGCCACACCTGACCCTTCACTCAAGAATTTTAAACTGTAGCTGAACAGCAGAGTCGACACTATTTAATAGCTGGCATAGGAAAAGCGTGAGGCGATTCAACCCAGTGTTCGTTAGGATTTGTATTAGAGGTATCTGACAAATGCTGTTGAATCTAAATAGCTAAATCGCAGCAGGGTCTAATCTGTTTTGCAGTCGACGTTGGGATGGACAAAATTTTCTCCCTTGGTTTTGCACATCTCCTGCCGTCTCGTAAGTGGTTCTTTCCATATATCTTCCAATCGCTCTGACGAAGGGCTAACGCTCGAAACGTCATCTTTTTTACTCTTTACGGTGGCTAATTTACGTTTTAAACCCATTTGTTAACACTAAATTACCTACTATACTCTCCCACCGACGCAGCACCACAGTTTCTTTAGAAACTTACCCCTTTATTCTTTCCATATAGCCGACTCTGGAAAATCTTTTGATCTTAGTCGCCCTTGAAGAGGACACATCCCTCCATCCGCCATCAAAACTTCTGCTTCGCACTTTGACAATTACCGATCTTTATTCCGGCCTCATTTCAAAGCCGCTAACGTTTACCCTATACTCTTGTCTGCTATAACCTAAAAGTGGCGGACCCTTTGTCGTACGGCTAAATATTCTGTATATGTAGTTACCACGATTTTCTCAGCGGTATCCCTTTTGATTGTAACCTCCATGGCAGTTGACAAACTCCAGGCCCTTAAACAGGAATTAGATATAGCGGCAAATTGCAAATGTCAAGAGAGTACGCGTGGTCCTCCTGTTAATGCGGATGAAAAGCACTCTAATCGGTTTACTTTACCTTTGGAACATGACATTATATTTCCTTTTCGCTGAACTATTTATAGCAATACAGGTGATGATTTCAACCTTCTACTTCTTACTTTCGAGTAAGATTTATCGCGTTTCCTCAGTGGAATTTCCTAAGATTTGCTGGACTGTTAAACATATTTTTGCCCTTCCTGGTGCCTGTACATGTTGATTATGATTCCATAAGCTCAAATTTAAGATAGAGGAAGAAAACACAAATTGCAAATAGCGAGGAAACTGCCCCCTGTAACTCCTATTTTTTTCGGCTTTTAAGGGATCGGCAGGACAATTTTCACAAATGGAGAAAATGTTTAGAGATTTCACCGAGGCAAATTGAAGAAAATCAAAGGTAAAGCCAAATTATCGCTGGCGAGCGCCTCTCTTCGTGGAGCCATCGCTTAATAACGAAAGTCATTTTGACAATATTTACAACAGCAAACGATAGTCCGAACCTTACTCATTGCCTTTTGATGGCTTTTAGTGACCATGAAAGGCGAAAACATAAACATTTTCTAGAAAAATATTACGCTGGCGCGCGCCAACATTGAGCAACAACCCTATGGAGCCTCCTTAAGAGATAGTTGATGGTTTTGAAATGAGCTGTTAGGCCCAGTCTTACAGGCGCTAAGCTATATCCTGTTTTACTGACTGGTGGTGATGTGAATCATTGGCTAAATATTGATCAGTGCGGTATCAATAAAAGGGAATGGTGTTATCTTTCTCGACTCAGTGCATCGTGCGCTCCATAACTTCTTGTTTCTAGCAGATATCCGCCCACATTTGTACGAAAGATCCCAACGACAAAAAGATCAACAACAAATGAAGAGCTCGCGCAAGATTATAAATTTACAGTGTTTCTGCCCTACATTAAAGGTGTCTCAGAGGTTCTTCGTCGCTACTTACAGCAACAAGGACTGCACACAGTCTCTAGATCTGACACGCGCGATATCGATGCTCAAGTCACTCTAAAGCGTTGCCATAAAATATAAACCCATTTAATCTGTTTTCTCTTTCGAGATATCAACAACAAATCGATAGAAATAAGCAGTAACGAAAGCCACCTGACAAGTGCAACAATGCTTAATTATTAATTAATAACAGGGCGTGAATTTTTCACTTTGGCGACCAAATCCTGAAGAGAAGTCACCAAATTGGCGACTAGAATGTTTCATCATAACCTTACCTAGAGATATAGTGAATTAAAAAGGTTTGCAAAGATAAATCCGCAGCAAACTTCCTCGTTAAGTTTGTTTCCAAAACGCAACACATGCATCTCGATCGATAACTAGACGCCATCTTGGATTTAGGTGATCTTGAATGACATGTATATCATCCATCCTAGTGTCCACTTTGTAGCACGTTAAAGATCTTTTTCCTAGCTTAATTTTGTTGTGTCTATTTAGAACGCTGACAGCGTAAAAAAAAGGTTTTGATCACTTTGCATAGAAATGATAACGACAAATGGACCTTATAAACATTATAAACGACGGCAAAAATAGCTCCGAAAGATTAACTTCTACTAATCAACATCAGAGCCAACAGTGTCGCGACGAATTGGTAGTCAAAGTCTCAAAAATTAATTTCAAATGTCACACAGAGTGAAGTACAATTCGTAATCAGCAAATGTCTTTGATCAGAAGGGGAACTGAAGGTTGATAAAGAATATCGGCGAAGAGGAAATGAACGCCTCCTGGCGAGCGCAACAATGCCTAACAGCATGTAACTAATAATAACGATCACTTCGCATAAAAACAAAACGTTAAAAAAACTTTTAAAGATATGACCAATATCTGCCGAGAACAGAATTCGACCAATCAACGTCAAAACGTTCAAAAATTTCTAAAGATATGACCAATACCTGCCGAGAACTGAATTCGACCAATGAACGTCAAAGCCAACTATATCTTGACGAATTGACAGCCGATGTCTAATGAATAAATTTCAAATAACGCTCTAGATTTGGTAAAATTCGTAATCAGAAAACGTTTTTGATCAGAAGAGAAACAGGTGGTCGATAAAGAAGTCGACGCTGTAGAAATGAACGACACACGCACTTCGGGAAATCAAGGTAAACCGCTACCGTTAGAGGCAAAGATCGCTTTAGCAATATGGTTGGGAGTCGCAGGTTTAGTGACAATAGTTGGAAATGGAATTGTCCTGTGGTTGATTTCCAAAAAAAGATCTCTAAGAACAATGTCTAACCTATTACTGACCTCGTTGGCCGCTGCAGACTTTTTAGTAGGACTTGTTATAGACCCAGTCTGGATAGTCATACGATGTTTGGGTTATAATTCTAATAAAGCCTACATTGAAACCTTCGGTAGGGGTATAGATTATCTGTGGATCCACACTACTGTGGCAACAACATTTAACTTATGCTGTGTTAGCCTGGACAGGTATATAGCCATCATTCATCCTCTGCGCTACCACGATTTTCTCACCAACAGAAGATGTTATTTACTGATAGCTAATGTATGGTTTATGTCCCTTGTCTTACCCTGCTCAAGGTTCATGGTTCAGGATATAACAGCTTTATCAACATTGTACATATCATTTACAGTTATGACAATATTATTTCCTATGACTATAATCATGTTCTGTTCTATTCGAATTTTAAAAGCCGCCTTAGCGCATTACAATAGCATAAACCCGACGAGCAGCTGTGAGCAGAATCAAGACATTATTAGAAGAACTAAAAAGAACTACAAGGCTGCTAAAACAGTTAGTATCATAGTGGGGCTATTTGTGGTTTCCTGGTTGCCAAGTCTCATAACTGGTTTTGTACATTACTTCAATACCAAAGGGTCTCATAACGCAAGCTACTACACCGTGTGGACATTTGTTGAAACAACAGCGTTTACTTCGTCGGCAATCAACCCATGGGTGTATTGTTTGAGAAACGACGAGTTCTATGAAGCACATTTCGATTTCTTGAAAGACGGTGATTTGGAGAAATGTTTTGTCTTCAGTTCAGAGACCGTTCAAACGGGGAGCTGGCGGTGTAAATTCATAACGCATAACTGATATTTCGTAAAACAAAAATGAAGAGTAGCTTAGTTAGTTGGTAACTATTCCCCCTAGAGACTGGCCTAAAACTGATTTTCAAGTTTGTGAAAACAAGTTTTTTTTTCAAGTTTATTAAGTTTGCAGGAAAATCTTTGTACAATAATCACCTTCTGCAAATAGCGAGCTAATCTAGGCAGGCGGTGTTAAGGACATACAACACGAATTACAAAAACACCAATTATGCGAATTACTCGATTTTGCATACATTATTTGACAAAAGAGGGAAAAGGTGATAAAAAGTAAATTAATATATTATGTTTGAATTATAATTAAGATGCCTTTTTTTATTTCAGAAATAAGAGTGCTAGTGTCAGCATAACTATCCAGACTTCCTGGAGTTGCAAATAGTAATGCTTGAATTTTCTTTTTGAAGATGTGCTTCGGCAGACTTCGATAGCTTTCGGGAATACTGTTCCAAATTTTAGCCCCAACGATAGAAAAAGAGTTTTTATGATGATTAAGCCTATAATAGTTAATATAGTAGTTACCAGAAGATGCTGATCGGGTATTATACTGATGTATGTCTTGTGTAGAAATAAAAAGATTGCAGATATTTTTAGGTGCAGAGTTAGTGGTTATATCAAGCATTAAGATTGATGAAAGTTTGAAGTAGAGCATTGTTATTGGCAGGATGTTAGATTGCGCGAAATATGGAATCGCATGCGTTCTGAAAGGCAGAAAGTAGATCAAACTAACAGCTGTCTTTTGGAGTATAAGAATTTTTTCTAAATAAGATTTGGAGGCTTGGCCCCAGGCAATGAGGCCGTAAGATATATAGGGAGAAATTAAAGAATTATAAATACTTAGAAGTGTTTTTAAGGGGACAAAGTGTCTTAGTCTCGAAATAATTCCAATATTTCTGCTGATTTTTAAAAAAAATATAATTAATGTGATGTTTCCAAGATAAATGTTGGTCAATTATTACCCCTAGGTATTTAACATGATCCTTACGTTCAAGATCAAAAAACGTTTTAGTGCGGCTATCATAGGCCTTAATGCGGATGTTAAAATTAATGCGTTTTTGATATGGATGAAAAATTATATAGAAAACAACTGCACGGTTACACTAAATCAAGTTGTTGTCAAACTCAGAAACGGCTTGAATATAAATTTCCTAACTCCATCCAACCTGTGATTAATAATTAACTTTTCAATTATTCTAGCTTTAACCGCAAATTTTGTTTTGGGTAAGAATTGATTTTCACTTTTCAGGGAAGTTTTCGTTGACTTTTTGTAGTACAGGAAATGTTTTAGAGAGTAATATGTCAATATTTTCTTTGGGTACCGAAGCATTAAGTTCATTACCACGAAAGTGTGTGTGTTTTTCAATCAATATTCAGAAAACAGGCTATGGAAATAATAATTAAAAAGACATCATTCATTCAGACGGTACCTCTCTGAAGTCGGTATTACATCACGTTTTCTTTAAATGTTTACAAGGGATTGTATTGCAAGTCAAGAGAAAGTTGCTAACCGGATCTTTGTAGTGTAAAAATATATTTCCCTTACAAAGAGATATTTCAGAGGCCAAGAATGGTTATATCCCTACCCTTTTTCTAATTATTAAGGTCTCTCTGAGTAAAGGCCAGAAGTAAGGGAATTGTTGTGTGAACTACACTCGTTAACCCCTCACCCAACCTTTTTACATGACGTGGTTGATGAAAGGGTAAGTAGTAGGGTAAGCAAAACTTTGCTGTGGAGTTGTTTATCGATGCTTGAACATGATCAGTAGGGAGCGTATAATGAACTTAACAAACAATAAAGTGGTTAGAATCTACAATTGATCATATTTATATTTACGACTACCTGTTACGCACCATCCATAGCTTACCAGCATAAATAAAACCACTGTAAGAAAAGAAGGGGAGATTTGACGAACCTTGAAAACACCTCGAATATCTGGGAGGTCTTTTAAAGAAAACATACAAAGACTAAAACTATTAAATAAAGCGCAATTCTACATCTTTTATCGTCATGGAGATCTTCTGTTTGGGAGCCTGCTGCTTCTGTAACACAGACAACTCTGCGTCAGCGGACACCGACGGGAATTGGAAAGAGTGTACCTTATTGAATCGATCCGCCTACTAATTATTCCCCTTGGCGGAAACCATAGAAAATAGGGTGGATGTCCGCTAACGGAAGAAACAAGAAGGGAAGTAGACCATGACCATTGCAGCCATAAAGTGACATTACAAATATAATGTCGGACCTTGTTAATGCCAAACAAACGAACACCCTGCTTTCCCGCGGAGAAATGGAGATTTTACAATACTGATCCGCACTGCTCTGCTGCTTTGGTCGTATTTCCGTTGATTTGCAAATTAAGACAAATTTCTTTGCCGAGAGTCCATTATTGTGCATGATGCATTTGCTTGAGAGAGAGGGAAAACAAAAGAAAAATCTAAATTTCCCCCTTGACAAGGGTCAGCGTCCGCTTATGAGAGAGTGTCCGTCTCCGGGAATGTGTTAAAACAGAGTTTAATTGGAAGTAAAACGGGAACAAGATGCATAACTGCTTGAACTCGGGCTTCTTACGGAGTCTCGAATTATAATGCGCGCTTGGTAAAATATCTAGTGAACTCCCTCAATGCTCGTTCCTTGAATCTTGATATGCAATACGCGAATCCGATACGCGGTTTTCTACCGGTTTTACGGCTCATTATTTAGATTGACAGAGGTCTCCTCGATGTTATGGTTCTACTTCACCCATTTGGTGACCTATATATATATATATATTAATAGTGTATCACATGAATGTAACATTGCAGCTTGGAAGACTTGGAAGAATACGCTTGTAAACAGATTCCTTTAGTTTTTTGCTCTTGTTCCTCAGACATTTCAGAATTCGTACTGGTATTTTACTGGGTTCTCGATCACGTCTAAATACACGATAATGTCTACGTAGCTTAACAGTAAATAGCTGTTATAACATAACGCGCGTGCTTGTCCCATATAAGTCCTATTGAGCCGCTATGAAAAAAATCTTTATTTACCCACGCCCGTGCGTAAATAAGATGACGTGAGGATTTTTTTCAGAGTTTCCGTCCTGTTAAGCTGCAGTGCAGTTTTCCTTCTCTTTGAAATATGGAAGAAACCAGCGAAGAACTTCCCGATTTTTCTATCGGCATTGACCTTTCAGATCCTTATCCAACAAGCAACAAAAATAAAGCCGAAAAAAACTCGCAAGTTGCACGTTTTGCAAATTTTTCGGAAGACCAGCTGCAGCAAATTTTGGCCGAAAGACATTCACTGGGAACAAAAATAGTCACAAATTGGTCATTAATAACATTTAAAGGTAAAATTTTCGCTTTTATTGTTGTTTTTAAATTTGTTCAACCTGGGGAATAAAGTACACAGTTGTTGATTGGGAATTTACCAAAACCAAAACAATCACAATTGCACTCTATCACAATAAAAGGCTTCTTCGCGCAGATCCTTGCTGTCGCTCTGCTATAAAAGAATTTACTCGTGCTTTTAGCCGTGCGTATATCGAGTTATGGATGCACTTGGGAAGTTTGGAGAGCGCTCAAAAAGCTAGAGTTACCCTCGGCTGCGCCACGCGCTACTCTTACGCATTTTTCATGCTCTCCAAACTTCCCGCGTGCATCCATAACTCGATATACGCACGCTAAGCATGAACAAATTCTTAAATTTGATATTGCACAACCCTCGATAGAACGTTCACTCATAATAGTTCGCTCGTAAATTGATCTCTCATAAAGTTCGCGGACCGCGGGTTTACCCCGAACTGTGTTTACCTTTGTACGTGTTTTTGGCGTCTTAGACTCCGTACTATTCACTCTTTCTTGGTTCAGCGACAACACCTTCGATAAATCCGCCATTGCTCAACCGTGTGAGCATTCTATGCTGACTACGCATGCGCTTCAGCACGTACCCTCACGCGTGCGCTTTAGCGAGACGGCGATTTGTGATTGAACGACAACACTAACAAGAAAGCCCAATTTATAACTCATTCTGCGTAGCCCGAGTAGTGAATGAGTTGCCAGTAATCGGATCCTCGTGTTTGCGCAGAGATTTCTGGGTTCCCCACTGGAAATACATTGCAACTCGCTAGAAGGAAATGTAAGGCGAAAGGTTGTTTCGACGTCTTAAAAAACGATTTTGGAGAGAGATTATCGCTTTTTCGCCGCTGTTTTATCAGAAATGGATTTGGGTAATGTTGATACGCGAGAAGCGTAAGTTTTTGTTTGAACAACCATGAAATATGTGCTAAAATATACTGATTAACTTTTTGCCATGCGCAAGGTTTATCGTAAACTTGATATGGCGTAATGGTCTTGAAATTTAGAAATATTACCTATAAATTGCCAAGAAATTACTCACCAAAGCCTTTTCATTTTTTTTTAACGCGTGTTAAGTCTATGTGGTAATTCTATTTTGATCAAGACAAAGTAAGAGAGGATATCCCCTCTAGGCCAAAAATAATTGACATTATAGTGAAATTATTTGGCACTCGTCGTTTAAAAAACTTCTTAATTTCTTGTCCTATCGTTTGAAATGTTTGTAGACGTGAGTTTTTGTAAGTGGATAAGGTGTTAGGGCCAATCTAAATTTTTTGTGACGAGTACAACACTGTATTTTCGGTGACCGTCGAACAGTGGGGAGTCTCAGACCTCACACACGAATTATAATAACAAATAACTGAAAAATTTTAAATAAAATCAAAACGAAGTTAATTTTTTCTTTAAAGCTTTAGCAACTGCATAGCCTCTTAACTTAGAGGCCCTAATTTATTAAGTTTGATGATGTGCAATAAGAAATATTTTTTAGGAGGAATGATTGCGATTCTTACGAGTTTAGAGCGTTTGGTATCCACTAGTTTAGGCGCCGGCTAGTTTTTCAAATCTCCAAACTTCATACACAAAAAGGTCTTCTTTTTAGTCACCATGCCCATAGGGTAAACTGACATCGCATATGTGTGGGATGTATAGGTACTGTATAAATGCACTGCCGATCGACTGAAAAAAAAATTTCAGTCATGCTTAGTATAAAATTATAACGTTAAATTATTTTGGGATCTCAAACATAAATTATCACTGGTCTCTTTAATACAAACGTTCTAGTGTCCGTAAAATAATTTTTTTAATTTTCTTTAATCTTCGGCCTTCAAATCTAACGCGATCTGAAATACTTTTCACTGATCATGTAAAACACGATTTATCTAGACGATTTATTTTCGTTACACATAATTATATGAATGCATATTAGGTTTAAGTTGAGAAACCAGTGAAAAATTATGTTATGGTTTCCTTCACTGCTCCTCGAATTCCCTTAGTTTTCCAGCGGTAAGACTTGATTCAGCGACGAGTTGGGGTTCACTAAACATACGGCAAGTGCTTCGGCCAGGAAAAGCGACGAGTTTAGCCCTTGAATAAGGATAACAGCTGTCACCACACAAAAAGGAAGATAATAGACTGCGAATGTAAGGTGAACTTATAGCCGAGCATCGATGACCGTCTTTTTATATCGCGTCATGTTTTGCGAGGTTCCTGCTCTTTTCCCTGCTAATTCATTCTGCACTTGCATTTATTGACGTCGAATGGTGCAAAATATTCTGGAGTAGGAATGCGTTGAAATCATCAGCTCTAATGTCATCAATACTTCGCTTGAAAGGAGGAATGATATCGTATTCTAAAGCTAAAAGCAGGCCGACCGCAATATTTTCATCTATATAAACAGGACGACCGTGAGAGTTCTCCTGACAATTTCAACTTGCCCATATCTTATCCCTAAGAACAGGGTGAGGAGTCTCTCCACTGCAATGGAGGTCAGTATCGCTAGAGATACACCAGAGAAAATCGTGGTCACGATATCTGCTGAATATTTAGCCTTACGACAAAGGGTACAGTTTTCCGTAATAAGAGACAAAAATACTGTCATCGCTAACGGCTGTGAAATGAGGCCAGCGCAAAGATCGGTAATCGTCAAATTGCGAAGCAAAATTTTCGATGTTGCTGACGAAAGAAGTTGTCACGCGTCTAATGACCATTTTAAAATTTTTTACGGAAAATTTACCTTTTTCCTTAGAAGTTGACTACTGCAAAGCCTATGATTCTTTAATACGGGAAAATTTTAAATCTAAGAGCAACAATGCACTTAATGATGTGCAATGCTTAACTTTTAAAGGAGGAATGATTGCAGCTATTACAAACTTGGAACGATCGGCTACGCAAAGAGGTGTTCTTTGAAGTACCCTTATGTCGAGTTGATTGACATAGCATATACGTGAGGACTATTTCAGAGATTCTTTCAGATTTAAGTTCTACGTAAAATGCACTGCGCATGCGGAGCAACAAAAATCATGTCATTCTTTGTATCAGACATGGTCCTCATTTAATGTTTCTATGAAGTTCTAAAATTCTAATGTTCGATCAATTTGCGAACTTCTATGAACGTTCGATTGAATGAGTTTCAAGCAAGATTTTTTCCCAACGCGCCCGGGTTACCTGGGCGATAAATTATGATTGTCTCTCAAATTCAAACTTTGTGGTGTTCATCAAGAGATTATAATCTCTTGTGTCCGTTGAATACTTTTCTTCAAGTGCAAAAGTATGAATTTATGGAATCTTTAGCCTTAAACAAATATTTGGATTCAACAAGGAACTATCGGCAACTTTAATTATCGCCAAACTCTGTCCCATAAAATTATCACAGCTTTTCCATTTTTTCCATTACACTTGTTCATTACGAAAGAAGTTATTGCATGACACCCCCAACACATTTGTGTACTGCTCTAAGACGTATTTTGTTCTTTATATTTACTACATCCATTTTGAAACCACTGCTAATCCTTGTAATCTGATTGGCTCTCATTAGTGCGGTTTATTCACGAGTCGCACCATTTTTGCTCTAAATCGCATCTTTTTCAAGCCAGTGAAAAACCTTTACTATCACTTGACTGTTTAAAGAAACCAAAAATATTAGTGGAAAATGAAAGACAAATTTTGCAACTTTTCACAAACCAGCTCACCACTGAATCAATAACCTACTTGTGCATAAATACTAAAATATCCTGTATTTGAGGGACTGAATTTTGCGATTTCAAATTGGATGTAATACATTGGTCATTTATGTCCTTGATGCACTGTCAGCTCACCTATCATCTGTTTCCTCACTAAGCCATGTTGAATAACCGCCAAAAATTTTCAAGCATATCGCCCAAAGTAAGATATTCCATTCGCTCTTTAGTGCAAAGAAGTGGGACTCATACCACTATATAAATTCTTCGAATGAAATGGGTACACTCCCTTTGGGCGAAGTCTTGCAAGGTCCACTACAGTCACTTAGGAGATCATTCACTCCAATTGCAGAGTGACACAAGATTTCGTTACACAAACCGTTATGTATATCAAGTTTACGTGGATATAGAAGAATAAATTTCTGTTATAATTTCTTCACTGATCTTCGATTTCGCTTGACTACAGTAAAGGGACGATAACCGACTGCTAATATAAGTTGAACCCACAAAGCATTGATGACCGTCTTTTCATACCGCATCATGTTTGATGAGGTTCCTTTTTTTTTCCCACTCAATTCACACTCGAGAGGGGATGGATTTTTCACTTGTCATGACTGTACTTCTTTTGTGCTAAATTGACTATTATTTAATGCTCGACGTTTTGACGGGCGAAATTACTATTAAACAAAAGCATTCGACACAGCATTCGACTCATTGAGTTAGTTAATGAGAAAATCGACGCGTTGGCAGCTTACATTAATGCATGGACGAAAGCATAGCAACTAGAGTTTGAGGGTGATTCACCACCCAGACATTAACTTGAAAACCGGCCACCGGTGTTTCTTTAATAATTTATTAAGTTCTTCGGTGTTGATCTTTACCTATTGGGCCAAACAATATGCGAAATATATTAAAAGTGTTTTAAATCCATAAATTGTTCGTCATCTAATATCGCAGAAGAACTCACGCCAAGTTAGCAGAACTGAAAAGACGCCTTTAGTGCAAAGAAGTGGGACTCATACCACTATATAAATTCTTCGAATGAAATGGGTACACTCCCTTTGGGCGAAGTCTTGCAAGGTCCGCTACAGTCACTTAGGAGATCATTCACTCCAATTGCAGAGTGACACAAGATTTCGTTACACAAACCGTTATGTATATCAAGTTTACGTGGATATAGAAGAATAAATTTCTGTTATAATTTCTTCACTGATCTTCGATTTCGCTTGATTTTCCAGCAATAAAGGACAGGATTCAGAAAGAATTTGACGTAAACTAAACATAATGCAAGCTCTTCGGCCAGGAAAGGAGTGGAGGTAAGCCCTAGGATAAGGATTACAACCGTCACTACAGTAAAGGGACGATAACCGACTGCTAATATAAGTTGAACCCACAAAGCATTGATGACCGTCTTTTCATACCGCATCATGTTTGATGAGGTTCCTTTTTTTTTCCCACTCAATTCACCCTGCACCCGTATTTGCGGACTTCGAGTGACGTGAAAGATTCTGGAGAAGGAATACGTTGAGATCATCAGCTCTAATATTATCAATACTCCACTTGAAAGTAGATATGATATCTTTTTCCAAAGGTAGGTGAACCAACCACACTGAATTCTTTTACCTATATTGGTAGATCGGCACTGCAAACTCTTGCCTGTATCTCGTCCCTGATAACAGGGCGAGGAGTCTGTACACCGAAACACTATTAAGGATAAAGGAACATGTAAGACGGCGAGAAATTTGTAAACTGAGTGAGGTAATCTTCTCCAACCCAGTGTCGATTTTAAAACAAATTAGACCTAGAGATTAAGTTGCTTAAGTTCAACATAACTTTCAAGATATCTCTCATACAGGTCTTAATTAAAATTGGGTTTAAAGGTTTCGTTGCCAGCATAAAATAGGGTCAATTCTGCTGTTTAGCAACAGTTAAAAATTCTTGAGTGAAAAGGTCAAAGGAGAGGTCTGTCCGAAACATCGCTAATTAAGTACTAGAGATTATAACTATCATTTCACGCTGAGAGGAACTTCCTTGCCACTTAGTTTTCACTGCAACACTCACATTTATCAATTCATGCATTGTATTAAGCTGCCGGGCACCTTTTAACAATGCATGTTTACATGTATATGCAGCATTGACATAAACACACATAGCTAGCGAAACGATCATTAACGAAAGTTTGAATACGTTTTTCACCAGTAGGGGACAACAAGAACAACGACAACAAAACGCTTAAGAAGAAATCGAATCCCAAATTTTTGGGATTTTAAAGTGTCAGCAAACGGAAAATTAATTTTCACTCCTCTAAAACCTCAATCATTTAAACACATAACAAGTTAACGACGCGCACTGAATACATATGCCATAAATATCTTCATACATCGGCTTGATTGAATTCTCACGAAAGGGCATCTGTTACTTTACCAAAATTATTTTACAAGTTCGAATTCAACCTTTTTGAGACCAAATATTTTTAGCGTTATTTTTTATTTCGGAGGTTGAAGTAGCATTTCACCTACGCGATGGAGATCGATTCTTTGTATTTCTTTTTTTCGTGCATTATTTTTATACTCGTTTTGAATTTATGTATTTCATTAATATTTATAAGATAAACCAAATATTACAAGTCCGATCGATCGTGGGTACAATTTATCAAAACTCGTACATAAAATTTGAATCCATGCACTGCCATTCGAAATCTTTAGTATCATCTTAAGAACCCATTCACTCTGCTTTCTCTTTCGAAATACAATGTCATCGACATAAATTTAAACTTAAGCAAGTGTGAGAGTCACTTGACAAGCGCAACAATGCTTACCAGCAGGCAGTTACTAACAAAGATCACTTTGCATAAATATGATAATAACAAAACGTTAAAACCATCTGTAAGGATGTTAAAAATAGCTGCGGAGAACTGACTTCAAACAATCAATATCTTGATAAATTGATAAAATGTCCCTCTATGTAAGGTATGATTTTTAATTAGAAAACGTATTCGATCAGAAGAGAAACAGAAGGTTGAAATCGACGCAGAAGAAATCGACGCAGTAGGAATGAACGACACACACACTTCGGGAAACCAAGGTAAACCGCTACCTTTGGAGGCAAAGATCGCTTTAGCGACGTGGTTGGGTGTCGCAGGGTTACTAACAATAGTTGGAAATGGAATTGTCCTGTGGTTGATTTTCAGAAAAAGATCTCTAAGAACAATGTCCAACCTGTTCCTAACCTCGTTGGCCGCCGCGGACTTCTTAGTAGGACTTGTCATAGACCCAGTGTGGTTAGTCGTAAGATGTTTGGGTTATAATTCTAAAACCTACTTCGAAACCTTCAGTAGGAGTATAGATTACCTATGGATCCACACTACTGTGGCAACAACATTTAACTTATCCTGTGTTAGCCTGGACAGGTATGTAGCCATCATTCATCCTCTGCGCTACCACGATTTTCTCACCAACAGAAGATGTTATTTACTGATAGCTAATGTATGGTTTATGTCCCTTGTCTTACCCTGCTCAAGGTTCATGGTTCAGGATAAAAAAGGTTTACCGACATTGTATCTATCTTTTACAGTTATGACAATATTATTTCCTATGTCTATAATCGTGTTCTGTTCTCTTCGAATTTTAAAAGCTGCTTTAGTACATTACAATAGCATAAAACCGACGAGCAGCTGTGCGCAGAATCAAGACGTTATTAGAAGAAGTAAAAAGAACTACAAAGCTGCTAAAACAGTTAGTATCATAGTGGGGCTATTTGTGGTTTCCTGGTTGCCAAGTCTCATCACTGGTTTGGCGCACTATTTCAGCAACCTAGTGTCTCACGACTCAGTTTACTACACTGTGTGGACGTCTGTTGAAACAGTGGCATTTACTTCATCGGCAATCAACCCATGGGTGTATTGTTTGCGAAACGACGAGTTCTATGAAGCATTATCAAGCACATTTCGATTTCTTAAAAGACGATAATTTGGAAAAATGTTTCATGTACAATTCAGAGACTGTACAAACGTGTGGACATTTCTTGAAATAATGGCGTTTATTTGATCTGCAACCAACTCGTGGGTTTATTGTTTGCATAACGAAGAGTTCTATGAAGCATTATCACACACAATTCGATTTCTTAAAAGACGGTAGACTGACCTTATGAAGTCATATCGCACGATGCAATAACTTTTTTGTTCAAAAAAGTAAAAGGTTGTTAAAAGGTTGGTTAAGTGGTAAGCTGTTTTGCCAACCATGAATATTGGTTATTATCATGGTTGGCAAAACAGTTTTTAGCTGTAAATTAAGTTATTTGTCAAAACTCGAAGTGCTTGTCACCTGTCACTTAAAGAAATTTCCATAAACCATTAAGCCTACAAATAATAATTTCCTAGTCAATTATTCTAAGTAAAACCTTAATTCAAACAGCTAACTTTATGTTTGGGTAGAATTAACTTGCGCTTTTCAGAAAAGTTTCCGGCGATTTTATCTTGTATAGGGTAGTTTTTGGGGACTTACGATAATGTCTATAATTCCTCAGGGTGCTGAAGCATTAGATGTATCACTACGAAACCTATCTTTGTTATTTCAATCAGTTACCTAGAAAAACTGCTACTTGTGAAATACCATGTGCAAGAAATATACGGGAAGCATTTATTACCTTTTAATTTGCTCGACAAAAAGACGCTTTCGTCACAAACAGATAATTATTCAGGTATAAAATAAATAAAGGGGAGCTGAGTAAACAACAAGTCAAAATCATGCGAAGAACGTTTGCTGAGTTTTAATCATTCAAATTTACCTCAGAGTGATATTGACAAGCACAAGCCGTGGCCGGTCGCTCCTCTTTCCTTTCGATGGTTTGTAGGATTCGTCTGAGTTTTAGCCAGAATTTAGAGCGTTTTTTGGGATCTACACTTGTTAACGATTTAGATTTTTCCGGCGATACCGCACTCAACTTAATTCACAAAAGGGGTAGTTAATGAAGTCAGAAAATATCTGTTTTGTGAACGGAGGTGTTTATCTGCGCTCGTACATGATCAGTGAGAATGATTTAATTAAATGAGAAAGATAAAAGGATCCTCATTGAAACATGACTTATAGCAGGTGAATTTTAAATTTCCACTAATGATTTGTTTTTTTTTTATCAATTGATCATCAGATATCAATAGTTATGATGATCTACAAAACACCATTCATATGGCACCAGCATCAACAAAGAAACTGAAAGAAAGGAAGGGAAGATTTAGAAAAACCTTGACTCTTAATGTCTAACAGTACACTTCTAAAGAAGAAATAAAGAGCTCAAAGTAAATAAAACGGCACTCCAATATATTTTACTTGTCGTAGCGATCTTGGTACTTTTACGATTGCTGTCTTATAATAATTCGCTCGTGTTGTCTTTAGACTATCACATAATTTTTTTTATCACTTGTACGAGCTGTAGCAAAAACTTCAAAATAAAATATTTCTTCTTGACTTTTCTTCTTCTTCTTGACTTTCACTTGTCATGACTGTACTTCTTTTGTGCTAAATTGACTATTATTTAATGCTCGACGTTTTGACGAGCGAAATTACTATTAAACAAAAGCATTCGACACAGCATTCGACTCATTGAGTTAGTTAATGAGAAAATCGACGCGTTGGCAGCTTACATTAATGCATGGACGAAAGCACAGCAACTAGAGGTTGAGGGTGATTCACCACCCAGACATTAACTTGAAAACCGGCCACCGGTGTTTCTTTAATAATTTATTAAGTTCTTCGGTGTTGATCTTTACCTATTGGGCCAAACAGTATGCGAAATATATTAAAAGTGTTTTAAATCCATAAATTGTTCGTCATCTAATATCGCAGAAGAACTCACGCCAAGTTAGCAGAACTGAAAAGACGCCTTTGCAATATGAACAGCACCAGGGAGGAGTTTAGCCAAGAGGGAAGGATCGTTTTGGCAGCCTGGTTCAGTGTCACAGGTCTGGTGGCCGTAATTGGTAGCACTGTTGTCTTATGGTTGATCGGCAGAAATCATTCCCTCAGAATAATTTCGAATTTTTTCATTTCTTCATCGGCTGTGGCGGACTTGTCGGTAGGACTTGTTATAAACCCTGTATGGGCAACGGCCAGGTGCATCAATTATGACGAAGACAGTTATCTGAAAACTTACGGTAAAGCTATTGATTATCTGTGGATACACACCACTGTAGCTACAACGTTCAACCTATGCTGCATTAGTCTGGACAGGTATATTGCCATCATTCATACGCTCCGCTATCAAGAGCTTCTTACTAACACGAGAAGTTATCTCATCATAGCTTCTGTATGGGTCTTAGATAGAAATTCGACATGCGGTAAAAAGAACGTTTCAAAAAATTTCTGCCTTTTTTTCTAGTTGAACAAGCACAGATAAACGAGGTTGAATATCTTTAAATTATATTTTTTGACTCGTTCTCATCCATGGCTGTAGGATATCGACAAAACTTGCGCATTGAAGGTCATAATGTGCAGTTTTGATGATTTTTCTTCTTTTATTTTTCAATCGTACATACATGTGAAGAAGTCTTAAAAATAGCCGGGAAATTATTGTTTCGCGGTGACCAAAGCATAAATGAAACATAATAAATGATTAAGTAAGGTAAAGACTTGGCGCAAGCTGTGCATAGTGCAATAAAAGGCTCAGGTGAAAAATATCTTATATCTTGGAATGAAACCACTGTACTCTAAATACATAGCAGAATTGTTTTTGTGATTACAGTAGCGGATAGCATCATGATCAGTCTTAGTATTGTACTACAACTGAGTAACATGAAACACTGTGTTTGTTACAAATTAATAATCAGTGTCCGCTAGTTCAGTTAAAATTTTCCTCGGAGTTGTCGCAAATTTACCAACACCACTTCCCAGCCAGGAGCTCGCCAATACGCCAAAACTGGAAGCCCTTAGTTACAAACTCTGTCAGTTATGCATGATAAATCTGAGGACTGGAGAAGTAAACCACCTATAGCATTACAATCTTAAACGTTTTACGATCAGTCTTATTTCCGTTCAAGGAAGAAAGAAACATCTCTGGAACAAAAGGAATACCTGGGTTTGGAATTTGACAGACAGTAATGATCAGATTTTTCATGATCAAGGACGATCTCTATCTAATTAACGTCAAAGCTTTTAAAGTCAAATAACAGTATCGACACAAACCTGATAACTGAAGAGACACTCTCCTCAATAAGCCATTCAAATTTTATTTCCTTTAGGGGAAATTTTTTTAAAATACTCTTTCTATTACAGTATTTGGTAGTTTAGTGTAACTCTTCTCTTAGCCTTTCTCTGCTACCCGGAAGTATTATCACCAAGTATTGTTAAGCAAATTTACCGAATGGATTGTTCCCTTATTTACAAATCAAGCATTCGGCAAATTTTTAAATGTATTTACATATATGTGTTATAATCTCAAGCAACAGCCAAACTCTAGAATTTACAGCATTAGCACATAATTATATTCAGTTTTCGGCAATTTCTTCAACCGTAAAAACGAGCGCAAAACTGTGTTATCGTTTCTTTTACTTCTTTTCGAACTTCTTTAATCTTCCAACAATAAACAATAGGATTTAGCACGGAATTGAGACTAATCAAACCAACAGCTACGATTTGTGCCACGAAAATTGTGAAATTTAATCCACGAATAAGCATTAAAGTAGTTACTACTGCAAAAGGAAAATAGCATGTTACTAATGTTATGTGGACCCATAAAGAGTTGATCACTGTCTTTTTGTATCGTGCCATCACTAACAAAGCAGCTGCTCCTTCTCCTCTGAGATCTTGCACGGCTGTTCGCCGACGCCAAATATTGTGAAAGATTCTTGTGTAACAGTAAGTCGAGATTGTCATTTTTAAAGTAACTAAAAGACCGCATACAAAAAAGAACGCCTTCATGTTCCAGAAAGAAACGGCGCCCACTAAAATGCTTTGGATCCACATTAGAAAGAGAACAACACGGATTCGTCTTCCAGTTATCGTTTGTTTGTATCGTATTCCTAGCAAAAGGGCCATGAGTCGATCCACAGAAATAACAGTCACAGTCGACAGAGATAAGCCGGAGAAAATCGCTGTTAAAAGAAAAGCTGTGTATTCTACCAAAAGACATAGTTCGCCATCAATTTGGTCTCTTCCTGCCAAACTGACAGCAGCTGATACTGGCTGTGAAATTAAGGCAGTACAAAGATCGGTGATCGTGAGATTGCAAAGCAGAAGTTTTGAAGGAGGATGAAGATATCTATCTCTGCGAAGGGCGACCAGAATCAAGATGTTTTCTAAAGCAGTTGCAACAGATAGTAAACTATAAATGACTGCCATAATTAATGCCACGGTAGGTACATAATATTCATCGTCATAATGTCCATTGCAAAACAACGATCGGTTGGCTGCCTTGCGGAAATTCATGGATTTTTCCTGAAAAGATGAATCAACGTTTGGTTACTCAACTATGGATGCTAGGATCAGTTCCCTTAACCTAATTGTCAGAAAGCTGATAAGTTTTTTTATTTTATTTTTTTCGAGAGGGCACAGTAACGAATCTTGCAATCTGATTGGTTCTTTACCCGGTCAGTATTTTCCTATCTCTGCCCACGGGCCACGGTAACGCTTTCGTGAGTCGCCAAGTACATTCCAACTTTCGTTGCCATTTTTCATAAATATACCTCGTTTTTCCGGCTGGGAAGTATTTTTAAGCAAACACGTCGGTCACTACCTCAAGCCGATGAATAACTTATAAATCTTCTCTTTTTCTCACTCAAATCACTTTGGTTGACAGAAAAATATTGGTTTCAGAATTAATTTGTATAAACAACAATGTCATTACCTTGGTTGACAAGCGGCCTAAAACTCGTCTGCAATTAATTTTAATCGTTCACAAAAAGTACGTAGAAAGTTAAAACGTGAGGTATTTGGTTACAATTAATCTGTACGATGGAACTTTCATTCATTTAATACCTGAATTTTCTCAAGCAATTTGTTCGCAGAGAAAGAGCGAGCGAAGTTTTAATTTAAGTTCTACAACAAATATACGCTCTCGGTGAGTTTTTCCAAGTCCATTCAATTTGAACATTTGTATCGTAAATTGCACAACAGAAACTGACGGAATTTTTGTGAAAAGACCGCATTAAATCCCCTTGTGTCTCGTTGGAGTGTGCCATTCGAATTTAGTTTTTGTGAAGGAAAGACCAGATTTACACACGCCATTGTTTGCTGCATTGCAGCAAACAAACGAGCAAACTCTCACAATTTCAAAATAAAAAAATTGAATTTACTCACAATTACTTTCCTCGCCGTTTACTTAATGAACAGAGGTAAATCTTCGCACATGAATGAATCATCGATGAGAATGAATAATGCTTTCCGTCAGATTATTGACTGTTTTTGAAGAAAACATTGTCGTGACAGTCCTTGCCAAAGTAGTTCCTTTGTTTTTCAAATGTTCTTACCCTTTTGTTTTACTTACGCGCTCTCTAATTGACAGGTGTCAGATTGTGACAGATACTTGTAAAAATAATGTTTCAAAGCTTGTTTGGAAGCCTTCTAAATTATCATTACGGAAATGAAAATGTTTCGCTGAGGCATCTCTCTTGAATTTGCATCACCTCTATTTTAACTACCATTTACTCGCTCAATAACTGTTCAGTTTATGGAAGATCTTGCCGTATTTACAGCCCTAAATCATTCGGGTTCTTTCGAAAAAATAAATATGTTATGTACCAGCTAAGGGTCAGTCAGTTTTTTACCATACGGACCTCTCAGCCGGCAAATAACATACATCTACTTCCTCATTATGTCTGCAACATAAAGTTTGGGAATTACAATGTTAAATTTCGTGATAAAACAACTAGAACGTCTCTCGAAGATAGAATGTACGGATCAATATCAGTATCTGGGCAACTGCCCACCTACCCCTCCACTAACCCAACATTAACCTTAAATTGTTGTCAATTGACTGTTGTTGAGTTAAGGGAGGGGTAGGTGGGCAGTTGCCCAGATACTGATATTGATCCGACTGTACCACATGAATTCGCCGAGTTCACCTAAAAGGTTCATTCCACCCGAATATAAAGTTCACTGTTGAACTTTGTTTTGCACAACAAATGAGTAAAGGAGGTAAATTTCTGAAACAAAACTGTGGTGCGAAGTGAGGCTCACTCGATTAAAACAATAACACAAGGTCTTTCTATGGAAACTTTCCTACTTGATAAAAATTAAACTTAACCCTATTGATGTTAATAAATGCCCCTCATGAAAAGTAATTCGGACATGTTCATCGATCTTTAGTTACCAAGACGACTATTTTTGTTCATTCACGAAGATATGAATGATATGTTCAGTTCTCGCGATTAATTGAGATGTTTTTCAAAACAGAATAAACCTTTATCTTTCATTAATATCACTATGATAAATTTTGGGCTTTGTCTCACACTGTGGCCTAGAGGGGTGAAAATGCAAGTTTCTGTATAACTTTACGGCCATTAGCTGAGCATCAATTGAGGCGCGTAAAGTAGACTTTTTTATCACCATGATGACGCACAAAGTTGAAAAAAGCTGTCTTCTTTCAGCTTTATCGTGGCTCTAAGAAACAATAGATTACATGCAGTTTCATACCACGTCGATGTATTATTGCAAACGATGGTCAACGACCCTAGTGTTCAGCAGGTAATTTCTCCCTGTGTTTCGACTCTCTTGTGCGTGTTGTCATCGTTTCCAACGAAGGCCGCAGCAATTGCAATCGGGAGCAAAGCAGATCCCATATACACAGCTTTCGGAACTGTGATCAATTTCGGTGACAGAATGAAGTGGTCCTCATATTTTTCATTATCGCGGAGGAAACCAATTGAAAGAGATAATTGAAAAGATTCTTAATTGCTGGATGAAATATCAATTCTACCTGAGATTTTTCAAGACTAGATGAAACAATTGTTTTCAATATCATGTCACTCTAACAATTTTACCAATAAAAAGCGATTTCAGGAGCATATTTTTAGCAGAATAGTAATGAATAGAGATATCATTTCCTTGAAAATTAATATCATTAATATCATCACTAATACAAAAGTACAAGAGATCTGAAAAAGAAAACACATCTCTTATTAAGACTGATATGTCTCTTTAGGGGCAAACGAGATCTTCTAAATAAGGCCTGTCGAAGGGCTAACGCTCGGAAAGTCAGTCAGTCAGAAACTCTTCACGTTGGCCAATTTACATTACTCATTCAGCTACAGTTGATCAAACCAAATTATTGTGTTACACTCTCCCACCGACGCAGCACCATAGTTTCTTAGAAACTTTCCCCTTTATGCTGTGATGCAATTCAGTTTCTCTCTGAGGGTTTACACGGCAATCCACTGCATTGCTTGCCATATATATATGAACCAAGTATGAGGCCAAGAAGACGCCTCTGTAGCTCAATGGCAAAGCATCGAGCCGCTAAACCCAGAGTCTGGAATTCGATTACTGATTACGAATTTTTCACTTTTTACCACGCTGGCAAAAAACAAATAATTATTTTCGTTAATGATCGTCTCTTTGAGAATGTGTGGTATTTCAATGCTGCATATGTAAACGTGTATTGTATTGGTTAAAGATGCTTCTTTTCTGGTTTTAAAGTGTTATTGTTTATACTCTGACAAATAAGTGTTGGAATAAAGAGATGGATTACACGTATCGAAGTTCTTGGAGGTATGAAGTTTAACAAAGTGCATCCTTCTAGGCCTGAATTTTTGTAGGCTTCTTTTCTTGCCAGTAAGAATCATTTCTTCACTTGAATTTCATTCGCAGGTGAAAATATGATTTCCACTTTTAAAATGGTGAAAGGAAGCTCAATCCGATAGGTGAACCTCTTTCATTCCAGCAGTTTGTTTAAGAGAAGCGGTTTCATTGGTTGATACTAGGAAAGCACCAATGCAGAAAAAATTTTCATTTAACGCTTAAAGGGTTCAGTTCATCATCTGGGTGTACCAGCTGATCCAACGCGTACTGTCTTTCTCCCTTTTTTCGTAAAAACACGCATGTACCGGGATGCATGGAGACTACATGGTATTTGGTACATGTTGCATGTCATCCTGGACTTCGTTTTTAATGGCTAAGATGCATACATTGCGACAAAAGCCTCTGGACTTTTATTGTTACTTTTTAAGTGTGCACATCTAGTAGGTATCTGTATTATGTAAAGTTTTATCTCTTGAGATCCAATATGCATGTTAGAAAACCGTGTGAATTTTAGGGCAAGAGAATTAATATTCTCTTGTTTTAAGGGTATTTACAAATGCAACAAATTGAAACGAGGCTGTGTGAGACTGATGAAGCTGATATCAAGAATCCGAAAACCACATCTTTAAATCAAACATATCACAAATTTCTCCTGAAACAAATCGATCTTAGCTTAAGTTTAAGAATTAATCCCTTCTCTCGTCATCAAAGCCTTTGCGTTACGTCCTGAAAATAACCGAACTTTGCGTCGATTCATCTCCTTAGGAAGAACTGGTGAATCTCGACAAATCACAGAACCATACAATGTTTTGCGATGGATTATGGAACTACATATCTCAAATACCTAACTTGCCAATATTCCTCACGGCCGTCTACAGTTTTCAATCCATTAGTACCACTTTTAAAAGCACTTTGACCCTTGTCGCGCTTCGCAGAGATAAGAGTCTTTATCCTGCATCAAACCTACTTCTTTGTAATCTTTCGCTCATTGACCTTGGAGCTGGTTTTATTTCACATCCACTATCAATTTCTTTTTATCGCACAGCAATAAGCCAAAGCAGCTGGGAATACTGTGAAATGTTAAAATACTCAGCCTTACTTCCAGCTGCTATCTTCTCCGGTATCTTTGTCGACGCTAACGGCCATTTCAGGATCGACTTTTGGCTCTGTTCTTAGGAACACGATATCGACATTTTGTAACTGTAAGGTGAGCTCGTGTTGCTGTCTCTCTAATCTGGGTCCAAAATATTTTCATAGGTGCCGTTTCGTTGTGGAACAAGAAGGCATTCTTTATTATATCTTGTGTATCAATTGTTTTAAAGAAGCCTATCTCAACTTATTCCTAGCCAATAATCTTTCACTTTATATGGCATCGACGAAAGGTCGTGCAAGGAGCAGGAGCTACGCTAACAATGGCACGATACAAAAAGTCGATTATAAATTCACTGTGGGTTCACTGAACGTTAGTAACATGCTATGTTCCTATTGCAGAAGTAACTGCTTTAATTCTTATTCTTGGGTTAAATTTATTTCTTCTTGTAGCACTTGCCTCCGCGGTTGCTTCAGTCAATCTAAATTCACTGCTAAATCCAATTATTTACCGC